GTGACCGTAAGTAAAGTGCGTGAATCGTTGTGAATTATAGCGTGTGTTTAAGTAAAAGTGACTGTGGAAATTCTGTGTATTGCAAAGTTGTGTTGAGAAAGAATAATTTAGTTTTATTTAAGAAAGGACTTGTATCGCTGAAGTTCTTCGGAAAAATTTTTTACGGGAAATTAGCAAACGAACAGAGACATAACACAACCAACGCAGGCTAATATAAATGACCATTTGACCAAAGTTACTGCAAACTATCGCAAGTATAAATGAAATCAAATCAAATGGTCTTTAAAACATTCATCAGAAGATTTTCAACATGGATCATCATAAGAAATAAAGCTTATTCTTGTTTTGTTTATTTATACGATCATGTTGCCATGGGCTTAAAAGGTTGCAGCAATATGATAAACCCTGTCGTGACTTTTTTGTGTTTAAGCCACAAACTCTCATAGTGTGTTGACACATTTGTTAATCGTTTTGCCAATAATTGTTAATGGCCACAACAATAACTGAGCAACAAAAGTTACGTGAAAATAACACTCCACCGCTATTCTCACGGCGACGTAAAAATAACATCATCCAATAATTTCTTTTGACAAGTCCTGTAAGTTGAAGAATTTTGTAGGTTTCGATTGGATAATTTAAAATGGAGGAACTTAGCAATGACGTGTTGGAGCTTGCATTCAGTAAGGAAGCAAATATCGAGATTAACTTTCTTAATTTTGAAGTCCCATTTTTCACAGGCACGGTATACACGCAGTGTCATTTCCATATCGTCGAATCAGGACATTAGCAATTAATAATAAAATGATAATAATTCCGATAAACTACAGCTGATGAAGTCGCTAGACGTCGTATATCATACACCATTGCTAGAGCTAGTGTGTGAATAAACAAAACAAAAAACAATAATATATCAGTCCAATGTTAACCATTTAACAATGTTCAACTTCCAGTAGTTTAGAATTATTGTTTGTATATCAGAGATTTTGTCACGATTTGGCTTCATTAGTCGTTATTTGTTTGTTGTTAAGTGCAAAACTACACATTAGGATATCTGTGCTTTTCCCACCTCGGGTATTTAATCCCATTTTTTTAGTATTATAATTCCTCAGATTTACCACTGAGTCACCGAGGGGGAAGGACTTATCTGTATCTATTGTATGATTAAATATTAACTTCTCAGCAAAGCAAGCTGAGAGGAAACTAAAAATCAACCTGGTAATGATTGTAGCTAAATTAAATATACTGTTACGTCT